GAAAGAGTCTGGCCCCGTCCTCCTGACCCCCCCCCTGCAGATATTTAGAGGAATTTCTAAGGTCCCCTCTCAGCCTTCTCTTCTCCAGGCTGAACAAGCCCAGCTCCCTCAGCCTTTCCTCATAGGAGAGATGCTCCAGTCCCCTCATCATCCTCATAGCCCTCCGCTGGACTCTTTCCAGTAGCTCCTCATCTTTCTTGAAGTGGGGAGCCCAGCACTGGACACAGCACTGCAGATGGGATAAAGCAGGATAAACACAGCTTGATCTCATCAGTGTCCAGGTCTCCTCTTAGCACTGCCACTCGGAAAACAAAACCTCTCGTGTTTACACGCCTTTGGCAAATGTGGATAGACCTTATTAACAAATGCGGATAAACCTGAGTGCTTTTCTTACCGAAGGCAGCGCTGGGAGCTGCCTGACGTTACCGGATCAGGCTGCAGGTCCGGTTCGGTTGTCACGCTGCCCTGGGAGGGAATCCGGAATCCAGCTGGCGGTGCCGGAGGGTAGATGGGGTCGGGCGGTCTGAGTCTGTAGCTTTTGTTTTAGCTGCGTGCTGAGTCTTGGCTCTGATCTGCGCCCTCAAAGCTGCCGTTGCAGGGTGGGATATGGTTGAAGAAAACCAGTGCTGAAGTTTTAACGCTGTGGAAATCTTTTCCTCGGCTCCTGTTGTCTAAGCAGCCAGGCTGAGGTGTTGCAGGTCCCTTCTTGGGACCGGGGGTGGATTCCCTCCTCAACGTAAGAAGGACATAGATGTGTTGGAGAGGGGCCGGAGGAGGCCACGAAGATGATCCAAGGGCTGGAGCACCTCTCCTATGAGGACAGGCTGAGGGAGTTGGGGCTGTTCAGCCTGGAGAAGAAAAGGCTCCAGGGTGACCTTAGAGCAGCTGCCAGTGCCTGAAGGGGCCAACAGGAAGGATGGAGAGGGGCTTTGCACAAGGGGGTGTAGTGGTGAGACAAGGGGGAACGGCTGTGAACTAACAGAGGGCAGATGTAGATTAGATATTAGGAAGAAATTCTTCCCTATGAGGGTGGTGAGGCCCTGGCCCAGGCTGCCCAGAGAAGCTGTGACTGCCCCCTCCCTGGCAGGGTTCAAGGCCAGTTTGGATGGAGGTCGGAGCAGCCTGGGCTGGTGGGAGATGTCCCTGCTCATGGCAGGGGGGTTGGAACCAGGTGAGCTTTAAGGTCCCTTCCAACCCAAACCATTCTATGATTCTATGAGATGGACCTCTGGTTCCACCTCCTGAACACCATGCAGTCTGCATGGCCTTGGTGTGTGGCTAGGGCTATAGTGGCTTGATGCTCACCAGGCCTCCTTACCACCCTCAGACAGTGCCAGTGCTTTCTCGCCTTCCCCTTAACTGGCTGTAGCTTACTTGAGGAAGGACAAACACAGAGCATCCCTTCTCCATGCCCTCTGTCCGTGGTCTGGGGCTAACCACTTGCTATGGCACTGGGATCGCTTAAACCCAAACTACCTTATTTCCAGGGTGCCTTACCGTAGAACCAGTCCTTGGGAATGGAGACATCTCCTGTCCCAAGGCAAGGTGGGTGGAAGCCAGTGCTCGAGTTGACTCAAGCACCGCTTGTTGGATCTGGGGCTGTCCAGTGGGCTCTAGGCAGCTGAACAAGTTGTGTGTCCTTCCCGGGCGGTGGCCTCTCTCTCCAGAAGATCGTGCTCTCCAGAAGATCACACCGTTCCAAGGCAACAGCCTGTCCCACTGATCTTTTGCTCTTGTTTCCTGCAGGGGTCCTGACAGCTGGAGAGCACAGCTTTCCCTTCCAGTTCCTGCTGCCAGGTATGGTGCAGATGAATGGCTGAAGGCACTTCCCTGTACGCCTTGGCTTCTGCAGCTGCTCGAGCTGTGCCGAGCAGGACTTGGGCTGGATGGCAGAGGCAGGCTGACAGCTTGGCCCGGAGATGCTGGAGGGAGCGTAAGGGGCGGCACAAGGAGGC